CCCTCCTCTGGTTAATTGTCGGGGGCGTGTAAATCTTCCTTGTTTTCTTCCCCGTTACTGTATTTATTTTGTTTCTGTCGATGCTATTGTTTCATTATTATTTTGTTTTTCTTGTCTGCGCGCGCTCGTGTCTCCGACTCGTGTAGATCTCCTACATATAACAGGCATGGGTGGCAACGCGGGTGGCGGTTCCATGGGGTTCAATTTCTCAAATACCGTGTCCGAAGGTGGGGCATCGCGACAATCGGGGGCGACGGGGTCATCATCATCATCTACGGCTAATCCGATCGGGGCAGGCTCTGACATCCTCGACAGAGCCACGCACGAGCTCAAGCTGGAGAAGAGCAACATCCTGCTGCTGGGACCGACGGGATCAGGTAATCTTCTATTGCCCGTGTTTGATGGATTTTGGTTAATGTTCTTAAATAATAGGTAAAACATTGCTGGCACAGACGATAGCTCAATGTCTGGACGTGCCTTTCGCAATCTGCGACTGCACGACGTTAACGCAGGCCGGATACGTCGGCGAGGATATCGAGAGCGTCATCGGGAAACTGCTGCAGGATGCCGGATACAGCGTGGAGCGCGCTCAGATCGGTATAGTCTTCCTCGACGAGGTCGATAAGATCGGCGCGGTGCCGGGCATCCATCAGCTGCGCGACGTGGGCGGCGAAGGTGTGCAACAGGGTATGCTCAAGATGCTCGAGGGGACGGTGGTCAATGTGCCGGAGAGGAATTCGCCGAGGAAGTTGCGAGGAGAGACGATCCAGGTGGACACCACGAACATCCTCTTCGTGGCGAGCGGTGCGTACAACGGACTGGACAGGCTGATCGCTCGCAGGAACAACGAGAACGTGTTCGGGTTTGGAGCTCAGGTGGCGAGCAGTCAGGGAAGGAGGGCGGCGTCGCAGCAGGCGCAAAACCAATCGGATCTCTCTGCCGAGGAGGAGAACCAGGAAAGAGATCAGGCGTTGAGGCAGGTGCAAGCGCGTGACCTCATCGACTTCGGTATGATCCCCGAATTCGTCGGCCGCTTCCCGGTGCTGGTGCCCTTCCACAGTCTCGACAAGAATATGCTGGTGAGGATCCTTAGTGAACCTCGTAACGCCCTCATCCCACAGTACCAGCGACTGCTCGCGATGGACCAATGCGAACTGCTCTTCACCCCGGACGCACTCACATCCATCGCACAGTTGGCCATGGAACGAAAGACGGGCGCCAGAGGATTGAGAGCCATTCTGGTAAGTTGCGAATCACTATCCTCATGGACGATTAATAAATAATATAATTTGATTGCAGGAATCTTTGCTGCTCGAGCCGATGTTCGAGATTCCCGGATCGGGCATCACCGAGGTGCACGTGACAGAGGCGTACGTGAAGGGTGAGACGGAGGGTCCGGTCTACGTGCGAAAGAGCACCGAGACAACGACGACGACCGACGATGAGGACCTAAAAACTTCAATTAGAATATAGCAGCAGCGTACAAACGAGGATCTACTATTATTAAATAATAATTTATATATTATTTAAAACGATTTAGCAAAGAAGTTGAGAAATGAAGAAGGAGAGCGAGAAAAGAAAGTGGAGAGAATAAATTTGAAATACTATATAAATATATATATACATACATAGATACATAAAGACGAGATGAGGAGAAGCAGACGAGAATATTTAGATTGTGTACATTCATTGATTATTAATTGAGTTTTTAGAACAATTTTCCTTTTATACCGATTGCAGATGATATTTGAATTTGATTTTAACGGAGGAAAAGCTTAAACATTTTGAAAGAAGATGATGAGAAGGAGATAAGTGTACAGATTTTGTTGATTTCTTTTATTTAAAAGATGAAAATGAGGAACGCGATTTTTAAGTTATAAATTGTTAAATTTAATTTTCCACTTTTTAGTTTTTCATTTAACTCTATGGGTAAAATAGGAAATTAGTAAGCAAGTGTGATGATTTTTTTTGTTAGTTTCATTTTGTACGTCGTCCGATTTGAGCTTGTGTTCATAGAGATAGAGTGAATGAGTGAGAAAGAGATAGAATCATTAATATATACATATGCAACACGATTAATTAAGAGAGAGAGAGAGAGAAGAGAGACTATTCAGAATTATTATTTCTTCTCTCGTGTGATCTAGTTGAGGTGTTTATTTTATTTTTATTTCTTGTTGTAGTTCCTTTTTATTGATTGAATATATATATATATATTTTAGGGTTTTACCAAAATTTCGAAAATGACGAATAAATAATTTGTCAATGCCTTCCCGTTCGGTGTGATCCTAGAAGGCGCAGGAAAGGAAAATTGTACAAAATAAATGATAAAGAAAAGTGGCGTTGTTCTTACGTGTATTTCCTGTACCTTCCTCTTCTTGACGTGTATCTCGTACACACCCCCCTGGTGGCCACTCCCATAAACATTTGCATATCCATGACAACTCTTAAGAATCTAAGTCGATTCCCTCGGGAGAGAGAGAGAGAGAAACAAAAAGAGAAAAAGAGGTTAACTGTAAATAGTATTTATATATATTTCATCAATGTCTGCTTTTTGTCTGTTTCTTCTATATAATAATATATATATTTGTTTTCAATATATATGTACAGTATATAGGTATATGTCTTTGTATGTGTGTGGGTGGGTGTGTGTGTGTGGCGATTACTTAAATAACAATAAATAAGATCCCTAAGTTGAAATTAAAAAAAAAATAAACAAAATAGGAAGAGAGAAAGAAAGGAGAATAGAAATAAAAACAATGTTTAAAAAAAAGGGTGGGCGGGTGTTTGTATGGTGGAGGAGGAGTTTACGAGAAACGAAAACAAATTGTAATTAATAATCTAGGATGTTCTCGAATTTATGGATGCGGATGTCTTTTGTTTGCTTCGATAAAACGCGCGACGAACAAGATGATAATAATAATAATATTAATCGCTAAACTTATTATAAAGAAAAGAGAAAAAAGAAAAAACTTTACCCCCCCCCGGTAATAATTCCATCTTCTTGAAAAATAATAGGTAAAAATATGTATGTATAAAGTTATATTAAACCGAGAATGGAAATACGCCGTCATTTCCTTTTGTCAGGTTGATTGGTTGGTTTTTAAGGGTGTGTTTGTTTTTTGTTTTTCTATATAAAGAAATCACAGACCGTTGCATTCGAATGCAATTTCAAGTTCTTTGTTTGTTTGTTTGTTAGTTTCTTATTTAACGTCGCACTTTGATGGGGTTTGGGTGATTGGTGGTGGTAGAAGGTAATGGGTAGCAGCAGCGGCGGCGACAACGTCTGTTTTGTTGTCTTCTCTTCTAAGGCGGGGATGTGGGCGTTTCTTTTATCGCCGAAACCGTCCCTTCATCAGCTGCAACGTTTTCGCCATCAGAGGTGCCTTCTTCTGCGGTTTCGAATAACTGCTGCTCGCTAAAATGTGGACGAATTCAAGAGTTGATGATTAAGATAGAAAATCACACGAACTTACCAGATGAGGAACTCCTTTCGGTGACGTGATTAGGAACTGAAACCTGTCCAGCTGCACCCGCGGTAGCGATCGCGTTCAAACGGCTGGACGGCGTGATCATCGGTTTCTTGTTGTTGTCCACGCCGTTTTTGGCCTGTTTCTTGGCAACGTTTCTCGGCGGCTTCACCACCGAATCGACGTACGCCAACTTCGTCTGTCTGACCGGCACGGATTTGTCCTGCGATAACTTGATGTTTGCGGTGAGTGCCTTCAGTTTCGTCTCGCGCTCGTTCAGACATCTCATGTACATTTCCCTGCAGGTCTCCATCTCCAGTCTCTTCTTCGTCCGAAACTCTTTCTGGCAGTGGAAACTCCACAGCTCGTCCGAGTCGTCGACTATGTATGGGTTGTGGTACTCCAGGTTGTACAGCTGTTCGGGTGTCGCCTTATCCAGGACAGGTTTTAGTATGGCGTACGGGACGCCCCCAGTGTACTCGAGTGCTTCGATATTGTCCTGCAGAACTCTGGTGCACAGTTCGAAGAGGGTCGGCATCTTGCTGAAAGCGACCTTGTTTCCAGAGTACACTTTCGTCCGTTGATTCTTCGCGTACATGAGGCGAGAGAGCGCCTCATCATCTTGCACCTTCTTCGCCTTACTGTTGAGATCCAATTCGCGGAAAGTATTTCCCATCGGTTTGTAGTTCGTCGTTATGGAGGGCAGCATCGTTGCGATACTGATGTCCTGTGTTTCTAATTTCTCTGGCAACGGTGCAATGGGAAACGCGATCGACGGCGCCGCCGATTCCAATCCAATTCTGCTCGTACTTTTCTGTACGACGATCGACGATTTTGTTGCTACGTATGAGGATGATTTCCTGCTGCTGCTGCTACTGCCGCTACTCACCTTGACGCTGGGACTGTGCATCATCAATGCATCTTCGAAACTCGTTCCCGACTCACAATCAATCCCATCGTCCACCGCAACTTTCTTCTTCTTTACACCGCTGCTATTCCCAGACGAGGTGGTGTTGCTGCTGCTGCTCTCCTTCTCCTTTTTCTCGCTCGAACTTGATTTACGTTTCTTCTCATCTTTTGATTTATGATTTGATTCCTCCGAAGACTTTTTGTGTTTACTCGATGATGAAGATGACGAAGACTTTGACGTTTTCGACTCGTCCGAAGACTTTTTCTGTTTGCCATGTCCATTCATATCGTCGTCCCGTTTCCGTTTACTTGCGTTCTTCGACGAATCTTCCGTTTTCCTTCGACTCTCCTCCTTCTCGTCCCTCCTCCTTTTCTCATCTTTCTCTTCTTTTCGCCTCTGCTCCTTCTCCTCCTTCCTCTTCATCTCTTCCTTCTCCTCTCGCCTCCTCGACTCCTCTTTTTCCTCTCTCCTCTTCAGCTCCTCCAGTTCCCTTCTTTTGCTTTCCTCCTTATCATCCTTACGTCTCTTACCGTCATCCCGTGTTTTATCTTCATGTCTCTTCTTATCGTGCTTCCTACTCTTCTCCTTTTCATGCCTCCGACTGTCATCTTCATCCTGTTCACATCTACTCGACTGCGAATCATTCTCACTGTAATCCTCACTGCTATGACTAGAATTTTGTTTCTCTTGCGCTTCATTCTCATCGCCGTCCTGAGCCACCATGTCCTTCCATTTCGTCACCAAAGACTTGGCCGCTTCTCCCGTTTCACCACCAAGTTTCCGCAGACCATTGACGGTTCGTCCGACGCCCGTCTTCTGCAGATGGTCCACGTCAATGGGAAGACTGCACAGCCTCTGAATGCAGTGCAATATCTGAAATAAGGACCACATCACCATCAATAACATAACCTCAACAAAGAAGAACCAGGCCAACACCGTGTCGACCCCAAACACAACAAAAACAACGCATCTGTTCAACTTCATCGATCAATATAATAAGTACGAGGCGATTGCTGATAGAAGAAACGATTTGATTACCTTTGCATTTTCGCACTTGGCCAAGTATCGCTCGACGTTTTTCTGGTAGTGTTCGATGGCTTTGATGATCTTTGCGTCCTCCATGGTGTGTATATGTGTGTGTTTGTATGGATTTGTTTAATGCGACCACAATACTTTTAATGCGCAGCAAATATTTCAACTTATAACAATGTTACATATCTCGTAACCATCGTTGGTGCGCGAAACATAATCCCATGATGATGACAAAACTGGAACAGCTGTTCTTGACGACATCCACCATTGGGGTACATCCGGATCGTCTGGTTGCGCGCACCTATCCAATCCAATTCAATCACTTCACACCTCACTCAACACTCGAAACTCATGCAAAAAAATCTCACGGTTCAAAGTTTAATCTCCGACTTACAACCTCACCTCTCACCTTGCAGATTGAATTGCACAAATCCAACTTAAACTTAAGCTTTTACACTCGCACATCCAGTGTTGGCAGCACTGTTCTGGACGACATATTGGAATACTCGAAAACACAACGCGGGGATTTCCCCTATTTCACGCACACCTCAACACCACCATTTATTATCAAATATTCACATAATTACCCATCTTATTGTTTTTAAACAAATTTTCATCTTATCCTTCCATTTTCTTTTTTTTTTACTAGATATTAATGAATGTTATTGGTAGCATTGTCATCTTTCTCGCTTATCGCACCAATCGCAGCACGTAGAAACACTGCAAATTCAAATGTTTTTGGCGCCGCACGATGTTAGCGACATCGCAGCGACCAAACATACATTTACGATAATCTTCGATTCCCACCACCGCCGCCGCACGAAACCTGTCAAAGTTTGCAGAATTGTTTTAGTTTGTTGTTTTTGTTGCGCTTTTGTCTCGTTTTGCTCGCATTTGTTTTCCGGTCGAGCGGAGTAGCAGCAGACAGAAGCAAATCAGCAGCAGCAACATGAATATCGCAGTGGCTTCGCGTTTCGCCTGCCTGAAAATCGAAGATGACGAAGGACAATCCAATAGGAAACAGCAACCGGCGGCGGACGGTGGAAAGAAAAAAGTTGCGGAGAGCGGAAGGAAAGGCGTCGGTGGTGGCAACGGAAAAAAACCGGCCCAGAAGATGGTAACTGTTTGCGTCTTCTCCATGGATACCGATTTTCATATTTTTTTTTCTTACTTTTCAGAGCAGCAACCCGAAGAGGGCTAAAAAGGTGCAGGAGCAGATGGAGAAGCAGTGGGAGGAGTGGAAGGAAAAGGACGACAAACTTGTGATCGGCAATTACGAGCAGGATCTGGAGAGCGCCCTATTGCTATCCAAGATCCATTTCGAGGAGAACAAGGACAAGTATGTGTCCAAGCAGTCGGGCAAGAGGCACGAGAAAAAGAAGAAGACCAAAACGATGAGTCTGGATGAATTCCTTGCCAAGGATGCACAGCGCACAGGTAATATGAGCATTATTTTGTTTTACAATTTCTCAATGACAAGCAAGGTTGAGTGGATGTTGATCTAATGTTTACAGAATTCGATACTCCTCAGTAAGCAAATTGTTAATCATTTGTTTAACCGGGACACTTAATCTAACATAAACAACATTGAAATGATAAAACAAAGTGAACAACAACATATTCCAATTAAAGTATTGTATTTCCTGTTGTATAGATGCTGACTGCAACAAAGAGGTGATTGAGAATGAGAATTTCTTTGAGCAGCTTCACACGGAGACCAAAAAGTTATGCAAGAAGGACGAGGTCAGTCAGCTGAGGAAGGATCGCGAGAACACGATCGAAGAGTTAATCAGCAGCTCTCAGTATAGTGTATGATCATCAATTATGTAAATGATAAAAATATGCTGATTGTTGTTCTGTTTCAGGAGAAATTGGAGGTTGAGCGGAAACGCAACAAGGACATGGAGGAGGAATTGCAGAAGGCCAGGGAGGAAATCTCGAACGTGAAGAGTCGTAATCAGACGCTGTGCACGATGCTCTCGACCGGAGAAAGTTAGTTTATTGATTGGACAGTGAGTGGGATATATTTATGCGAAACTGAATGTTGCAGTGAAGGATAAGGCTGACGTGCTCCTCGAGTTGGAGCGTTTGAGCATCATCAAGAACGATTTGACGGACGAGGTGGCACGTCTGCACGGATTGCTGGAGCAGGAACGTTCGAAGGTGGCCTCGCTCACGGCCGCATCCCTAGAGAGCATCAACTACAACAGCAATAAACAGCACAAAGAAAACAAGGTATTTATATATATATATATCGATTATTTTGCTTTTAGCTGAACGCAGGAAGATGACGATTATCCTTTTCTTTGGTTTATCATTAATTGTGATTGTGATGTCACGTTGTATCATTTTGGCGCGCTCGCGATTTTTTTTTTGCTTTTCGTTCATTTTATTTTTGTTTTTGCAGAAACCCGCCAAGAAAAGTGCACGTTCATGAATCAATCAAAAACCACCCGAATGCTCTCTAAAAACTCTAATCTCGATTCATCATCATCATCATCCCCATGACTCTAGTTTTAATTATTTATTGTTGTTTTTGACTTGATTTTCTTTGTTTTTTCTCTCCCTTTTCTATCTATGAAAATCACTTGGTAGTATATAGTCCATAGTTGTTACTCTCATATTTACGAAGATAGATTTATACATATGAATGTACATACGTATTATTAAGTATAGCCTAACAAAAAAAAAATGAACCTCCAAAGTCTACGCACCAAATAATCTCGAATTTGTTTCAGGATAAAACTTGAGCAAGTTTTATAATCTTAATTGTAGAGTTTTTGTTCTATCTTTCATTTGTTTTTACCCCAAAAACTAGTATTATTAACGTGTAAGATTTTCTCTCTTTCCCCCCTAAATCAAAGATGTTTTACGAATTATTATTTTAATAAAAACGAGGAGAAACGAATGGATTTCAATTGCTGAAAAACCATCACCAAATCCAGAATCCCACAAAATTAGTTTCCGAGTAAGGGTAAAATAGATAACTCTGAATGTTTTGAAGATTTTTTTTTATTTATTATTATTATTATTTGAAAACACATAATAAACGTCTTAAGCTACGAGAGCGGAGGCCGTGCTGGATTCGTACTTCCAGTTGGGGGCGACGACGCTCTTGGTCTTGTAGTACCTGGCCAAACGGTGGATACGTGACTCGACCAGAATCAGACGGAATTTGCTGTCCTTGTCCTTCCTGTTGCGTTCCAAATGCTTGCGGATGGATACGGCCTTCTTGATCAAGAAGTACAAATCCTCTGGCAGATCTGGGGCCAATCCCTTGGCTTTCATGATACGCAAGATTTTGCTGCCGGTGACGAACCTGACTTGGGCAACGCCATAAGAATCCCTAAGGATAACGCCTGCAAAAAAGAAAAAGCACACAACAATCAGTAAAGATAAATTGATGCGTGTTTGTGTGTGTGGAGACATTACCGATTTGCGATGGGGTCAAACCCTTCTTTCCCAACTTCTTGATGTGTTCGACGACCTCATCGGAGCTCAGCTTCAACCAGGTGGGAACTGTTCTGCGGTACGGGAGGGCTGATTGGGAAATACCCTTTCTGCAAAAAACAATAGAGTCTCAACATGGGAAAACATTGCACGCACGCACACATCAACACAGCCGCGCCGATGTTGACGTAAAACACGAGGCGACATAACCTTCCATCAACATATTACGCTATTTATACGGGCATTTCAATTTGAAATCACGCAATTTCTGCATAAATCGATGGCTGGAAGTGTTTATAAAAGATATTTGCAATATTAAACTCACCCTGGTGCGTGCATACGACCCATTTTATTATTTTTTCTTGCTAACTAACGTGAACAAGATGAAAGTCTACGTGAAAAAGGCTATGCGCTTGCTACGCCATTTGCTTCCGCTACGCGGTCGACGGAAGCGCCCCCTCGTTTCCATTCCACGCACTATGAGGAAAAATTAAAAAAAAAATAATATCACCGAAACATCAATTAAAAATGATTACTTTTTAAATATGCAGCAAAGAAAGAGAATTGAAATAATTGGTGAATTCGTTTAGGTGAATTGATGAAGAATAGCGAACGAATCGGCGGGTGCTACGAACTTCGTAGCGCCTCGTTCGTAGTTCCGAGCGGAACAATGATGGCGTCCGCTGGTGCTACGGGGAATTACATTTGCACCTGTCACAAACAGTAGTTTAATTTTCCGGAGGATCCGCTGGAAAAATTGATCGCGCTTGGAAAGGAAAATCCCTTTTCTTATGGATCGCTACGATCGCCGGCGGATATTATGAGAAGTCCCAAAGGTACGGTGCGAAACACACTTTCTCTCCTCATCTCGCTTCCCCAAAAACGCGAACATCTGAAGAGCGGGGTAGCAGCAGCCGCAGCAGCGAAAAAAAAAAAAAACACCAACACCTACAGACCCCTTATATACATCTATATCTATTTACATAATTATGTTATTAATTAGCAATCATTGTGGTTTGTCGCGTCCATTTCAGCGATTGTTGCTGCATGTTTGAGCGTTATTGATTGCCAACAATAACAAACCAAGACTGTGCTGTTGTTGCTGCATCGATGTTTGAGATGTGCGTGAGCATCATCACTAGTGTCTAATTGTTTGTTTGCTGTTCTGTGCAGATTGAAACGCGTTCTGATGCAAAATGAGTTCGTCGTCGTCGTCGAACAGAAAGAGGCAGATAATCTCCTCGGAAAGCTCCTCTGACAGTGAAGATGACATTAGGCCGAGGAAAGTATCTGCCACACGAAGACCCATCCTCACCGATTCGGATTCCTCTGATTATGATTCAGATATTAATGTATATCCAAAGAGGAAACGAGGGGTGGTATGTATACAACTATCTAATTGAATTCAATGTATATGAGATTTCGAGAAGTCCGTAGAAGCAAAATTTTTATTTTTACAATTGTTGACAAACAAATACTAAATGCTAAACATATGGAAGTGGTAGATTAAATCGATAGAAAGAATTAAAGTGTGAAATTATATGTTTAGCATTTAGATTTGTTGATTTGTATGTATTTAATAGTGTTTTAATTTGTAGCCTGTCATTGCAACGGATTCGGACAGCAGCAGCAGTAGTAGTTCAGGATCAGAGATTATCAGGAGGAAGAGAAGTAATACGCGTTTACCCAGCGACATCGATGATGATGATTCGAGTTGCTCGGAATGGAGTGTGAAGTCGGTGAAGATGTCCTCGTCGAAAGTGCCGATTATCGAGGACGGTAGTTCTTCGGACAGCGACGGTCAAGCTGACAAATGTCCGATCTGTCTGCTGACGTTCAAGAGGCAGGAGGTCGGATCGCCGAACGTGTGCGATCATATGTTCTGCAAGGAGTGCATACAGGAATGGTCGAAGAACGTGAACACGTGCCCGGTGGACAGGCAACCGTTCACCGTGATCTTGGTCAGGGATAACATCAACGGAAAGATCAAGCAGCAACTGCCGGTGGAGACGAGCAAGGAGCCGGAACCGGAGGAGGAGTACGTGGACAACACGACGCACTGCGAGATCTGCGGCAGTTACGACCGGGAGGACAGGATGCTTCTGTGCGACGGTTGCGATCTCGGTTTTCATTTGGATTGTCTGACGCCGGCGTTGGAGGACGTCCCGGCCGGCGTCTGGTACTGTCCGGATTGCGGGCCAGAGCCACTGGATCAACAGAGGGACGTAACCATCTACGAGGTGGAGATGCTCCTCAACGACGCATCGGACATCCCAAGACCTTCTGGTCGCCGAACGCTGCACTCCTCTGAAACTAGGTGAAGTTTTTATTATAAAAATAATAATCTAATTATCGTTACAACTATACGATTTTTTAAGTTTTCATTTTTTAAAATAAAAAAAAGAAAGAAACAATTTAATAATCTAAATTTGTTCTTGTTCCAATCACCAATCATCAAGACCTGAATTATTAGTCGCAATTTTATATCTAATTACCAAAAATAATACAACTATACAATACTACAATTGTAGTTTTCTCGTTGTTTGTTACGCTTTATTAATGATAATGATAATAATATAATTGTGTATGTCTTCTAAATTGCAGGATGTAAAATTGTGCGCTAATGATATCAGCCTGATCAGTTGATTGATGCTCATGCAATGGGAAGAAAGAAGAATTGTTTGGTGATAGTAATAATCTACATTATTTAATTTACTTCTACTTTTATGTTTTTGTTAGTCTTAGTTTGAATATTGTGTCTATTGTATAATTGGACTTGATTTATTGATTGTTGGCAATTGTGTATAAATATTGGATCTTAGATTGATTCCTCGGACGCGGCAGAGCGAAAGGATCCGTGCCAGAATAATGACGCATCGGACGACGAGGACCCGCAACTACGAAGAGCAGGAGATCCAAGTGGTGGTGAGGCAGCAGCAAGGACCGAGCACTTCGACGGGAACAGTAACGGCGACGATGTCCACCACAAGCAGTCGTCGTCGATCCAGACCACTCCAACGCACCATCATGACGACGACCACGACGACGAGGAGGAAGAGGAAGAAACGGCGCAAGAAGCGGAACAATATCAAGATCACGTACGAACTGGACGAGGCGACGGGCGAGAAAATAAAGATCGAGACGAAGTCGACGTCCACTAAGAGGAAAAGCAAGAAGCGCAAGAAGAAAAAGAAGCGATCGAGTGCTGCTGCAATGGCCGCGTCCAATACCAAATCGAAAAAGAGGTTGGCCGTCAAGTTGGGCATTATGGCACCCAGATACTCGGGTCAGAATATTCCAGAGGTGAAGGTATCGGACGGAGTGGGCGCTGCGAGCATGAATCTGCAGCATCGGAGGAGTCAGGCCGGTGTGTCCAATCTGTATCTGTTCGGTAACAACAACGAGCTGGACGACTTCTGCTCGGACGGTTACGAGGAGGATGGAGGCAACAATTACGGTGTGATGTTCAGCCGGAGACCGAACCATACGGATGTGGCAGCTATGAGACGAGCAACTCAACGCAAGAACATCATAATGCCATCTCCTGCGGGCATTTCAACTTCGTGCGACATCCTCGGCTCGATCATGCAAGAACAGAACGATCTGTTCACCACCACCACCACCACCACGACGAACAGCAGAAGTAAAACTGACATAAACAGCAATCGAGTTGATTCGAGATCCTCTCGCCCCGCCCAGAACCGTGACGATGATACCGCAGAGACTCCGCCTTCCGGCGATGTGAACAGTTCAAATCAAATTAGTACAAATGAGACGACAGCAGCAGTAAATGATACAACAACAACAACCTCAACAACAGTGGCGGAAGACGCTGCGAATTCGGTGAGCACGAGCGGCCAAGGCAACGATTTCACCGAGAACAACGTGGATTACAATACTCAGTCGACGTGCGCATCCGACGAAACCTCCGAAGAGTCGAACAAGAAGAAGCGAACGGATTCCGAATCAGAATTGGATATTTACAGTGATATCGAGACGAGTGTGAGCACGAGCAAGAACGTTGATCCCGAAAGCAAGACTGCCTCGCCCGTGCCGCAGCATTCGTTAGTACAAAGTGATGATGACGACGATGGGAACAACAGTGAGTCCGAGTTGATTATCGATACGGAGAAGGTGGAACCGGAAAAGCCGGAGGAGAAACCGGACAGCAAGGAGGAAGCTGTAACATCAACGACGCAAGTCGAAAGTCGTACCGTCGTCAATAATCACGACGATGATGATGACGACGACGACGACGATGATAACAATGATGATGATTCCGACTCGGACGGTTGTCCGAATTTCTCCATCTACTCTGCGGAGAGCATCAACTTAGCCAAAACCACAGATCTTGACCTATTGCATTCCAATGCGACCGCCACTACAAGCAATAATATTGCAACTGTCCCAAGAACGATCACACCTCCTGCGACGACGATAGTTGCAGCACCCAGTAACAGTGGAGACGATAAAGAGGACCAGAGTGAGGTCGGATCGACAAGCATGGATAAACCGAAGACGAGCAGCAACGATCTGCTCTATTCGGATTCGGACGATGAAGTGGTCAAGCCGTTCGGCATCGGTGATATTAGGAATATGACGGAAGATATTAGCGAGGAAGAGCGCAGCTACACGCCGTGCTTGGACGAGAGGAACACGTCTGCGCCTAGAGAGGGCCTGGAAGGTCTGGAGGCAATTTCCGATGACGAGAGAAACGATTTCGATGAATCGTTCAAGGCCGTATCCGATGGGGACGCCCTCGAGATTAACGCAAAGGAATCCGAGTTGGATTTCACGAGAACGGAGGACTTTGAGGAGGGTGAAATCGTGGACAAGAGCAAGACTGCGGAAAACAAGGAGAAAACACCGGAGAAAACGGTAGAAACGAAAACGAGCAGCAAGGAGGAGAACAAAGAGAACGATTCCGGTGAACACAAGGAGACGACGTTCAAGAAGATCAGCAAGAGCAACAAAGATCGTAATTATAGGGACAAGGAGAAGGATAAGGATAAAGAAAAGGATAAGGAGCGGTCGAGGAGTCGATCGAGAGATGGCGGTGGTAGTAAGAGTAGGAAGAAGGACAAGAAAAAGGAGAAGAGGAAAGAGATTGAGCGGTACAACGTTAGATCGGTGGTGGGCGATAAACCGAGGAAGGCGAAGGATAAATTCGGACGCGATATCAGAAGGAGGTCGAGCTCGAGGTCCAGCAGATCGGCGAGTCCGCCGTACCGATCGAATTCCAGAGGACGAAGAGCGTCGTATTCGCCGAGACCACAGAGGCCAAGAGTGAGAAGAGCCAGAACAAGATCGAGATCAAGAAACAGATCCAGATCTAGGAATAATAAACGACGATCGGCGAGCAGAGACAGGAAGAGAACGAGAAAATCGCCACCTCCTCCTCCACCTCCGATACGCGCCAAAGCTAAACCGGTGGTGCGAAAGCCTCGTTCGGTGACGCCGCCGAGGAGACGCAGAGATTGGGAGAGAAGATCACCGACTCCGTCAAAGTCTAGGACTCCGGAGAGGCGTGTCACTCCCTCCTGGACGCCACCAATGATGCTGCAGGATAAGCAACAGCAGCAGGTAAAACCACCTAATTTAACGGTGATACTCACTAATGATGCGAACAAAAAACGCAAGGAGAAGCGCAAGGGAGAAAAGAAGAAGAAATCTAGTGCGACGGAGACGACGGAAAAACCGAAGAAACGGAAACGAAACAAAACTCCGCCGCCGAGCAAAGAGGTCTTCGCAAGTGGTGATAACATTCTGGTCAGTGTCAGCTTCAACAAGGACTCGAACGAGGAGACACCGGTGAAACGGAAAAAGAGCGACGACGTGAGCACGAAGAGAACGCGAGGAGCGGAGAAGGTCTCGAAACGCAAGAAGATCAAAGACGTGTCCAGTATTAAACCAATGGCGATCATCGATCTGGATAGATCTCCGTTCAAGGAGTTGACTCCTAGCCCGAAGGACGTGATCGTGTTGAGCGACAGCGATAATAACGAAGCACCGCAAACTCCTCCGGTCTGCGATTCAAGTCAGCAAGTGGATTACTCGACAGGACCGAAGACGCCGCCAGAGCCGCAGGTGAAGTTCTCGTTGAACTCTAAACCGCAGCAGCTGCGAGCCATCAACAATCCGTTGCACGAACCGGACGACGTTGACACAGAGAATGATCAGGGAGAGGACGAGGAGACGTTCAAGGGGCCGAACACTCCACCGGAACCGCCCAACTCTCCTCCGAGTTCACCGGACGTCTACGATCCGTTCGATCCGACCAAGTCGAGATCGCCGTCTCCAGAGAACGTGCCCAAGGTCCAATCCACGACCACGCAGAGCTCGGAGACGAATCATTCCGAAACGGATAACCTGATGATCGATGGTAACGATAATTCTGCGCCATCCGCGACGCCGGACGCGCTGATGAAGTCGCACACTCCGCCTATCACAGACATCCAGCCTGCTGACTCTCAGAGCAACAATGCCGCCTCCTCAATGTCGACGGTCGATGCCAAGCAGCAGATCAAGACGCCCGAACGCAACAGCGGGCTGATGAGCGGAATAAGTCAGGCCCAGTCCAATTCATCTGCATATTGTCAATCGACGCCCATCACCACGTCCACGCCCATATCGCAGCAGCCGACGACTCGCATCAACATTCTGAACACGACCATCATCACACCAACGACGTCGTCCGCCTCGCAGCGGGTCGGCCTCTCCACGACAACAAAGTCCAGCATATCCACAGTCAAACCGAGTCCAAGTAAGGCGAACAACAAGAGTGCGAACATCAGCAAAACACCGACGACCACCAAGAAGACGACGAACAGCAAAGTTGCCAACAACAACCGAAGCGACAGCAATGATTCCAACATGGATCTGGACTCGCCGTACTCTCCGGGTCCGAGCGATTACGAGGATCTGTTCGAGCCGCCCGTGGAGACCAGCAGCAAACAGTCGAAACAACCGAAAGCTACGAACAAGAGTTCACTCGGTAACAGCAGCGCCTCCGCCGCCCTCAGCAACAAGGCTCAGCAGCAGAGCGTATTCGATTCGCTTTTCGGTTCCTCTCCAATGCATAAGGGCAAAGTCTCCAAGGATGGTAAAACTAAGGCCAAGAAGCAATCGTCAACTCCAACCAAAGGTAAGCAATTGTGCACAGCTGTCGGACTATTTGACTATGAATTATTTGCAGGCGGCGGCACCAAGATGGTCGGTGTTAAGGTGGACGAGGAGAGTCTCAAGATCCTCGAGGATCTGCCGAATTCCGCTGTGGAAATGCAGGTGAAGGATAAGGTAAGACATTTCTTTATTCTTTGTGTTCGAATCGTCATGAATCGTCATTTGCCAATTGCAGTTCCTGAAGAAGCTCAATCGCCAGGAACGCGTCGTCGAAGAAGTCAAGTTGGTGCTGAAGCCGCATTACAACAAGAAGCACATTAACAAGGAGGAGTACAAGGATATACTCCGACGAGCCGTGCCAAAGGTAAATCAAATACAACTGCTCTAAGTCATAGAGAGAGAGAGTTACATTTGTTTTGTTTTCAGATATGTCACAACAAGTCTGGTGAGATTAACCCAAAGAAGATTCAGAACTTGATAGAGGCTTACGTGAAGAAGATCAGGCACAGCAAGAAGGTGACGTCGAGCAGCAACTCCATGAATCCGCAGAAGTAGTTTGCGAGGTTTTTGTTTTATTATTATTATTATTTTTATTTTCTTCTGATTTGTAAATATTTGTGAAATGATGCGATAAGTTAAGTACTCGTGAATGCCGCGACTAAATGATTATATATATTATATATAATATACCAATTAGAGAGAGAGAAAGAGAAACGAAGAATTTAGGAGGAGGAGGAGGAGTTGTGGAGATTAGTGTACGCCCAGTTTTGTTTTTCTTTCTTCGAAACTTAGTGATAGAGGATTTTATTTTTTAAACTAAAATACGATTAATTATATAACATTAGTGACGATTGTACACGCTGTAGAAATTATTTTTTATTCGATTCGTTTCTAAAACAAACAAACATAAAACCCCGACCCCACCCCCTGGCCACTCCCACTAAGATTATTGAACAAAACTAGAATTATGAGACGAAGACCAATCCCCGCTCGCTCCCTCCAATCCACCACTAAATACAATTTTGTTTTAATGAAAAATGAGGCTGGGAGAGGGTTTTTGGTCTGGATATGTGTATAAATGTCTTTAACACAAATTAGCAAAATCGTCGATGTTGTCTCATTAGAAAATACAATTCCCTACCATCTCCCCCATCTTACATTTATATATATATATATCGATAAATTAATTTTTAATTTTTTCCCTTTCAACGAAAGGAAATTGAAAGTATTTGTAAAAAGTATGTCACATTTGAATTCCACGACACGTAGGCAACCAATTATACATGATATTTATTATATAAATTATATTGTACATTTCTTCCCCCCCACATTCATTCCATGTTTTACCAAAAGTAATTAAATAGAAAAGTGCGTGCAGTAAGAATTGGCAATCATTTCATAAATGATGAATAGATCTAAAGAATTTTTAAAGTTGCTATGGACGCCATTATATAGTAAAGAAGTTACTAAGGACGCCGTGCAGTTGCCAAGGACGCTAAATAGGATTTAAAATTGCTAAACTAGATCTCAGTGATTTGTAATTAATTATAAATAAATAGAAATGGTATCAAGATGGCTAATTTTGATTGATTGATTGATTGGGTAAATGAAATTGATGTCGCGCGAGGGTGACGTGCGCGTGAATCCATGCTAGAAACGGTATGGGATTTCGTCGGCCAATGGAGAGACGTAGAGCCGTTCGACGTGAAGACACCACAGGATCTCTACATGCTCTTCATGTTCTGCCACGTCTTCACTTGGTCTGTCCTGATGTGGAAATGTCATTGAGTGGAAGACTAGGATTGATGGATGGATGGAGCTGCTGCTGCACGCGTTTCTTGTCATCACTTTGTATTCCCTCGAGCGTGAATCAATAAAAATTTAAAGGAAGGTTGACAAAGAAACTAGGATTATTCCGTCCGTTGATGCGTTATTTGGGAAAGCCGCTTATATCGTATTCGCGCGTATTCATCCAGTGTGTCTGTGCAGCAATAAGAATCACCGTTCGGGGGGATGTTGGCTGCGTGCGGTGGCCACTCTACCGGAAGTAACAGGTTGTTACATCCGGTGGAGTGAATTTATGTCCGCTCACACAACACACACGTACACGATGCGAAGTGAATGATCATCATCATCATCACCACCATCATCATCATCATCTGCTGCTGTGTCGTAATAACCGTATCGTTTTGCAGAACTACAGCTGCCAAAATTCAACAGTAATCACATTGTCCCGCTTCTCGCACTAATAACAACCGGATATTTTGATTGTCTTCAATCGGATTACATTACTAATGACAATGCACGCACGATCGAACACGCAAATCATTTGACCGACTCAATTGCGTAATCGAAATTCAAAATTATAAGTTGGCATCATTTGACTTTCAACATGCCAACTTTAAAATAATTAAAGAACCAAATACGTGTTTTAAAAATATTCAATTTGGCGTTAGTTCAAATATTTAGATTAAACGTTGACTGCCAACGTCGTAATTGAAAAAAAAAATGAAAAGCGAAGATTTATCGAGATTTGACAAATTTCCTTCTTGTTATTTTTCCCTTGATTTACGACTGCTACACCATGAGCAATAAGACACACACGATGACAACAGCAAAACGGAAGAAAATATGGACGTTAATTTGTCGATCCGTGTATCAAATTTTCTCTTTAATTTATGTGCGACTCCCTCTGCCGCCGAAAAATATAAATCAGGTTGCGTCTTATATATTTATTTTTTTTTTATAACGTTTGCTACACGTCCAATTATTTATGGGGTAATATTTAAGGAGGCGGCTGCGAGGAAACAGAGGAAATGCGTCCGCATCCGACAGCAGCGGCAAAGTGTCATCATCATCATCATAATCATCGTCGTCGTCGCATCAGCCGCAGCCGCCAAGAAAATGATTAACTCTGCGACAAATTAAAACGAGTGATTTATCGTCGCCGCAGCCAATTAATAATCCTCCGATTCCCCCAACGGAAAGAGACAAGGTTTGCATCTTATTTAGTAGAAAGAAAAGTTTACAAAGTTTTTTTTTTTGTTTTGTCATTTGTTTCCGACGGTGAATAGCGTCGACGAAAGGTGGCGCCGATTCGCAATTACAGGTAATTACAGGCAACCGAAGTTGATTAACGCTATCCAGTAATTTCCGAATTGCGGATAACGAATGAACGCGCGCGCGTTTCCGACATCATTTTTCTTGCGTTAATATTATTGCGAAAGTAAATTGATTCGACTGTTGCGACCCCAAAAACAACAACAACAACAACACGTAACAACATACACCCCCCAACCTCCCACGCACAAACAACCGATGAACCGCATACCCTCAACCCCTCCTAATCAACGTCCGCGCGACCGATGCATTCGACGCCGAAGCGCACTATTTATTTCCATTCGATGTTACACACACATAATTCACAAATCGCTGAATAGGTTTTTGTGTTGCGCGTTGCGACCGCTATCGTCGCCAGTTTTATCGAAATATCAATTAAACTAAAGCCCGGACTCGACATTAAATCCCTGCATCGAAACGCGAACGCGTAACAGGCGAATCCAATTTTTGGATATTGCAATTTACGATCGCAACTCTCTCTTCTTTTTTTTTGTAAATTATTATCATTTTAGTTGTCACGGTATAACATTACCATGGTTATTATTCTTTTGTTACTGCTGTTATTGATATTATTATTATTATTATTACTGCTACCGTTGCCATGGCATGAATAAAACAATGCGCTCCATTTTACGAACGTTTGTTGCGAACGCGTACAATGGGACAGAGGATTATTGGCAGGTCGTAATCAAATTTCCACCGCATTATTGTGTTATTATATTATTGGGAGAGGATACTTGATGCACATTATATTATTATTTTTTTTTTGATTATACTATTCCATTTGGAAAATTTAATTGAACTCTCTCTCCATCTACTTTTTGTTCTGTCGCGAATTGATTTCGTATTAAATTAATAATCATCATTTC